GGTTGTTAAAGTCCTAAAGGTTCGTTGTTGTTAGGGCAGTTAAGTCCCTTAAGGTTTGTTGTTGTTCAGGGTGGTTAAAGTCCCTACAGGTTTGTGGTTGTTAGCCTTTTAGTGCCGTTGCAGGGTAGTGTAATCCTTGCAGGTCTGTTGCTGTTTAGGTCTGTTGCTGTTTAGGGCAGTTAAGTCCCTGAAGGTTTGTTGTTGTTTAGGGTAGTTAAGTCTCTATAGGTTTGTGGCTGTTAGCCTTTGAAAGCCTCCCATATGTTACTCATGGAAATCATGTTCTTGAAGTTTTGTTGTTGTTCGCCACTATTGATGGCAATTCAGTCCCTGCAGTTTGTTGTTGTTCGCCACTGGAGGCCCTTCATTTGTTCTTGTAGTTTGTTGCTGTTTGCTGCAGCAAGTCATCATCCATTTTTGATGGAAATCTCCCTCGTCCATTGCTGTCCAAGTTGAAGTTTCATGGTGCTAGTTCACCTTCGTCCATTGTTGTCCAAGTTGAAGTTTCATGGTGCTAGTTCGCCCTCGTCCATTGCTGTCCAATTTGGTTTATTGACGTTCTCTACAATTGAGTTTGACTATTCCAAGCTTGGTTCATACAATTTTGTATGATTCAGCTTGAGGGGGAGTGTTGTAATTTGAGATAATATCTTTAGAATCTTCCTAATTAGAGGAAATAGATATATAATCTTTATTTTATTTTACTTTCCTAGTTTCCCTATTTCCTTTTATTTTACTTTCCTAGTTTCCCTATTTCCCTTTTTAAGAGAATTAGATTATTACAAATAGAAAGTATCATAATGTATTTTTTATGATTGAGAATAATAAATCAGTCTTATTTTCTACAGTAATCTTTTAGGCCCACTTAAGAATTAGGAATGGACTGGGCTGGTTATTTTTGTGATTCCATGAAATTACCATATAAGACTATGATTCTAATTTTAAGAAGGTGCAATTGTTAAAATTAGAATTTGCAGGCCTCAATTTTAGTTCAAGTATTCAATTTCATGTTCAAAATTCTAGCTGCCAAATAGGTACTAAATGAAAGTCATTAACTATTAGCAAAAAAAATTCAATTTGTGTCTGGTTTTAGCGAAAGAAGCACGCTGATGGTATCCTTATTACAATTTTCTCGTGTGTACTGTACCTTTTTACAACAAATTAAAGTCTGTTTCACATTTAAAATTGTGCTCTCTTTTTGCAGGTTGATGTGATAGAGTCTCAATGGAATATTTTGCAATCTCATATTCAAGAGTCTCATGATTTTACAGAACTTGTGGGCTTTCATCAAGAGTAATAATTTTTGTATTGCATGCTTTTAGTGTTTACAGTCTTGCTTGCTGAGCTATTTCAACATGCATACTCTGAAAACCAGCACGATCGTGGTTATTCATATTAAATACAGTTCTTTGTGACCATTGACTCAGTAGGGCAACTTTTATACTATTGCTCACATATAGGGATCATCTTTTACTTTTTATGGTCAAAGATAACTTTAGTTTCACTCCGCTCCTGTGCTTTGTTTTATTCCTTCTGGTGGCTATTTGACTTTTATGTCTCCAACAGGTATCTGTCAGCCTTGATTTCACAAACTTTCTTGGATATTGGTTCTGTGTCGAGGATACTGGATAGTATCATGAAGCTTTGCTTGCAATTTTGCTGGAATATTGAGAACCAAGATAACTGTTCAAATACTTCTGAACTGGAACATATAGCCGAGGTGATATGCATTGCTGGTTTTGTTTACCAAATAATTGTACAGGAATAAATCTCAATAAAGCCATTATTGCCATCATACAGTGTTATATATTAAACGTATAGTAGGCTCAATTAATTGAGCATTTTTAATTAAGAGAAAAAAAGATACTAATTTATTATCATCTACCTTATTCAGGCTTTAATATTATGATATATTTTGTATAGCAGAAATATACTCTTGTTTCTCCATATAATTCATGATGATTTAATAATCAATGATGAGGGTAAATGTTATGATGATAAATATGTGAATTCTTTAGCTGTATCTTTTAGGTCTACCATAAGACAGGCTAAATTGGATTTGAGGAACTTCAGAATGGACTTCTAGACAATATTATTTATCTGCTCTTGAACTTGTCTAGTAGTAGTTATGCAAAGTACAATATAGTTGCTTCTTTAGGTTCTGTTCACAAACTACCTTTTTTAATGGAAGGTGACAAAAATTTATATGGGAATGTTCGCTTGAGACCTTCTATTTCCCCTCAAATATCTGAAGTTCTACCTCATTTGTCATTTATTCTCTATCTTATACTGTCAAAAATTGAATTTTCTCTCTTCACTTCAGACTTATTCATAGAAATTTACTCTACCTGGGGATAAATTGCTGAGGCGGGTTTGTATTTAAAATGCAATCTGTTTGTAAAGAATAAGATCATCCTCTTTTCCTCCCTGTTTCAGTTGATTGGGCCTTTCCAAATAACTGGTTTCATTTCTATATTTTGTATTAGATATCCATCCTTTACTGAAATCTATCGTTTGTTTTGATTGTTTACTTATTGTTTGCTTTCTCTAATCTAACAACATATATAGGAATTCAACAAGAAATCAAATTCCTTGTACACTATACTGCGCAGCAGCAGACTTGCTGGAAGTCAACGAGCCCCGTTTTTGAGACGATTTCTCTTGCGATTGAATCTGAATTCCTTCTTTGAGGTAAAACAACCGGATACATACTTAGTCAGACTGCTTAGATCAATATTTCTAACTGTTTGTTATTTTGTTCCTTAACAGTCAACTGCAAGAGGAGTTCTGAATGTTGTTAGGCCACGCCCTACACTTCCTGCTTTAAACCAACAGTAGTATCAGTATCATTCCACCACACAATTGCAATGTTTCTTGCTTCTCGCCGTATTTGGCATGTGAGCTTCAGTGGAGTGGCAGAGTTTAATTTTGACATTCAAGTCGCGATTGCTGTTTTACCATCATGCAACTGTCCTCTGAAAGTCAATTGCGTATTCCACTTGCTATGTGGTTCCTGATCCTAGCTTATTTTGATTGATTTTAATGTAAAAACTGGTCAGTTTGGTTGTTGTTCTCAATCCTAGCTGATTTTGTTGATTTTAATGGAAGCACCGGCCAGTTTGGAAGGTGGTTCGTGCTTGTGCTATTTGGTGGCTGGTAGAGATGGCTGTTGCATTTTGTAGATGTAAGCAGTGGTATTTGTGTATAATGCAATTGATTTTTAATATTATTACTACATGCTAAACGTAGGTGATCCCGCGTGGTTTTTGTTTGCTCCAAGATGTCTTTCACCTTCAAGCTTCTTGCAATTGGCCAATGAAGTCTGGCATATCATTCGACAGAATTACTTCAACTGTTAGGAAGATCCTAGCAAGCTCAAATTTATCTCACTCTATACTTAATGCGCTCAGGTACTACCAATATGGTTCACTTTACGAATGAAACTATCGATCATAAGAAAAACTTGTTGGCAAGACAATAGCGGTTCAAACTGGAATTTGACTAACGGCTGTGTTCTTTTTTCAACAAACCATAAAAAAAAAAAAAATAACGTGGTAGATCAAAACGTATAACTATATTTTAAAAAATACAAGCTAAAACTGTTTTGTATGCGGAATATAGCTTCGTGTCAGAATGTGGTTTACGAAATGTGCTCTCGAAGCTGCACTGCATCTCGATGGCATATTAGCATCGATAGTGTATTGATCATACATTATCATTCTCAATGCCTACGGATGATTCATGCACAAAAAGCATTGATAGTTGTTTTTGGCACCTTGCATTCGTTCCTAAAACTTTTTAAAATATCCAAAAGGAATGAGAAGCTCACAAGAAAGTTTGGAGAGCAGAAAAAAAAAGGAAGCACCCTTTAACCTTTGCTTTTCAGGGCTTTTAGACCCCCTTTTCCCCTAAAAAAAAACTTACTTTGCTGAGACTTCAAGAAGTGTTGAGGAACACTAGCAGTGGCTATGCAGATGTAACTTTTGATTATATTTTGTTAGCTAACAGAATTGACGAAAACAAGTTTTGGAAAAATATAAAACTATTCTGCTTAAAAGTTGGAAAGAAAGAAAAACTTAATGATTTTTGTTTTACACATTTTATGAGATTCAAGATGAATGGAAATTAAAACAACGACGTAAATTAAAGAAATATAATGAATTATTTAAGAGAGGCAAAAAAACATAAAATGAATAAATAGGTGTGAAAAATAATAATAAGTAAAATTATTGGACTAATATTGTGAAGATAGATACCAATTATCGTCCATTTATTATTTTAGTTCAGCCCAATTTTTTTTTAACTTATTCTGCATCCAATACACCTTTATTTTTCATTTTTAATGAATTTTTGGTCGCACTAAATAGCAGCTCGCAAAAATGAACACCAGAATGTGATTCCACGTTTGTGGTTGGTGTGTGGGAAAATCATGATGAATCTCAAACTTTATGTAAATAAATTGCTTTTGCATAAAATGATACAAATTGTTTTTTAATCTTTCCTACCACAACTACATCTAAATTTGCGCAAGAAAACGCTCATTTAAACAAGCTGAGAAAATACAAATTCACTCAAACTTCTATTTTTTTTTCGTATATTATTAATTGCAACTTCCATTTTTAATTTTCTCTTTATCTACCTTTTCGTTCTATACCTAGTTTACATGCACATTTTTCAAAAGTGTATAAAAGTTTAGATACAAAAATTATCTAGAAAGTTAGAATGCAAGAAGAAGAAAGAGGTTAGGTGAAGGGTGTAGGTGGATCCTCTTCAAAGACTAAAATATCAAATAGCAGGTGGATGCAGAGATAAACTAAATATGATACATTAACAAAATTACTTCCAAATACCATATTTATAATTTAACAAGGCAGAAAGAAACTCAAAACAATTTTGAAAGCTAAAACATACTTTTATTCATTAAATTAATTAATTAATTAATATAGGTGCATAAAATAAAATTGAGAGATGAAAGATACGAAAAGGCATGATGATGGTAAAATCCAAGCCTCAGAGGGTGAGAGAGAAAGAAGTCACCACCAACCAACGAAACAAAGCAGAGGTAGGTAGCAGATAAGCCACCTCAACACAACACAACACAACATAACATAGCTTCCACTCTCTCACACATTCAACCAAACACCTTCACGTTATCGTCATTCTTCCAAAATGGATTCAAGTCACCAAATGGAAAAAGAGAAAGAAGAAGAGAGACAGAAGACAGTAGTCTCCACAGAACCGCCATTTGCAGTGGCATCACTATCCCTCTCTCTCCCAACCGTTTTCCCCTTTCGACAACCTAAGATCTCATCAACCCCTCAACCCAACAAGGTCAAGGTTCCAACCCAAGCTTCATCCCTAACCCACCTTTCTCTCTCAACCGCTTCCCCAACTCCTTCCAAGACCTCCTTCAAATCCTCCCTCTCCGCCACCCCCATCCACGCCCCTCTATCCCTCGGGCCCAACCGCCCCCGCGACCCCTCCAACTCCGCTGCGCTTCGCCGTGCCTCTGTGGTCTGGTTCCGCAACGACCTCCGCGTTCTCGATAACGAGTGTCTCGCCTCCGCCAACAATGAATCTCTCTCTGTCCTCCCCGTCTACTGCTTCGACCCCGCCGACTACGGCAAGTCCGCCTCCGGCTTCGATAAGACTGGTCCCTACCGCGCCACCTTCCTCATCGAGTCCGTCGCCGACTTGCGGCGGAATCTCCAGGCTCGCGGCTCCGATCTGGTGGTGCGCGTTGGGAAGCCCGAGACCGTTCTGGTAGAGCTGGCGAAGGCCGTCGGGGCCGACGCGGTGTACGCGCACCGGGAGGTTTCTCATGACGAGGCGAAGACGGAGGAGAAGGTGGAGGCAGCGATGAAGGAGGAGAATGTGGAAGTAAAGTACTTCTGGGGAAGCACGTTGTATCATGTGGAGGATTTGCCTTTTAAGCTTGAGGATATGCCTTCCAATTACGGAGGGTTTAAGGATAGGGTTCAGAAATTGGAGATTAGGAAGACAATTGAGGCTTTGGATCAGCTTAAGGGAATGCCTTCTCGCGGAGATGTTGAGATTGGTGATATTCCTTCCTTGATGGACCTTGGTCTTAATCCATCTTCCACAATGCCACAGGTTTGTTTATTTGCTGTTCATGCATATTGGTTTCAACTGTTATCATCAATGATCTTATTGGTTTTAACTGTTATCATCAATGATATGTATTGCGCAGGATGGGAAGGCTGGTGCTAATGCTTCTATGGTAGGAGGGGAGACTGAGGCACTGCAGAGGCTGAAAAAATTTGCGGCTGAGTGTGAAGCTCAGCCACCCAAGGGGTATAAGGATGGAACACACAGTATATATGGTGCCAACTTTTCCTGCAAGATTTCTCCGTGGTTGGCAATGGGATGTCTCTCCCCTCGTGTAATGTATGAAGAACTGAAGAAGACTGCCAGCAGGTGTGTTGTTCTTTGTGTTCTTCTGTTTAAGGGGATTCTTTTTGGTATGAATAGGGTGTTTACTAAGTGGTGAATTGTGTTACTGCAGATCCATTTCTGCATCGTCGAACCGGACTGATGGTGGTAATGGCTCGTCCAAAACTGGAACAAATTGGTTGATGTTTGAGTTGCTATGGAGGGACTTCTTCAGGTAACAATGCTTTGTGCACGTCGTTTTACTTGGCTTGGAACTTTAGTGTACATATTTTCTTTGCATACGATATACGGGAATGGCAATGGAGCACTCTTGGGAGTTTTCCTCCCACCCCCATCCCCCATAAACTAAATGTTAGGGATTAGCTTTAATTAAGTCTCTTTCGAGAATTATGTTAGGGATTAGCTTTAATTAAGTCTCTTTCGAGAATTATGTGCGACTTTTTTACTTTTCCTAATGCAAAAATAAGTAACTTCTATATTTAAGAAATTGTAATCATAGTAGTCAATACCACACTATTGGGGATAGTGAATTGGAGCAGCCTTGTGCACTATGGGATTAAAATAGTTGGGTGCTTTTTCAATAACGGCCATATATTGTGGCTGCTACTGTGACACAGGGCTCAGAAACCCATTTACCCCGTCAGACTTGGGCTTTAAGGTAAAATATTTCATTAAAGGTTGCGTCCGTAAAACCTCTATTCCTTCGCACGTTAAAGGACTATTTTTTCTTGTGTTCTGCTCTTCCTTTAAACTTCCCAGCTCACATTCTGCTATTTCTTTCATTTTTATTTTTTTTTTCTATAAATTTAACCGCCTTCTTTGAGTTTTTTATTTCATTACTATGTTCTTATGGGTCCTATGGATTAATGGTGATTGTTTGTGTGCACAGTATATAACCTATAGTTGGATTTTTATTTGCAGTGTGAGTTAGTTTGTATTATAATATTTAAAATAGTGGTTGTCCCAATAGCGTTTTCAGAGTTAGCTGTGGCTAGCATCTATCCGAAACTCATAACCATGCTTAAAGTATTACTCTTATTTTTTACTATTTTCAAAAGGATGGAGTTAGTACAGTGCCAATTTTAAAAATTGTCGTTACAGAGCAGCCATAACAGCGTAATGCTATAACGTTAATGTTTCCCCAACCCCTTCGCAGAGGCAAATTCTGAAGGGAGACCCACTTTATCAGCACCATTGGATGCAATGGCTTGTTTAGATAGCGGAATTTTGGCCTTCTGCCATGTTCCACCGTCTGTTATTGGTAACCTTTTAGTGTACACAGGAAAGTTGCAAACAACTCATCTAAAACATTTTAAAGTTGCAATTTGTAACTATTGCTCTAAATGTGGTAAATCCCTAGTGAATGAACTTTTCATTTTCTATATGCTCACCACGGAACACCCTTAATACGTATATGTATTGAGGTTTTAAAAAAGGGTATCTATGACTGCAATCGTAACCATGTCAAGGCTTTTAGGGTTTTTGCAATTGCAATTGCAATTAGAACTGCATAATATTGTAATTACAAAGTTTCCATGCCTGCAATTGTAACTACAATGTGAAGGCTTTTGGTGTTTGTCCCATTGCAATTTCAATTGCGGCTGCTGACATGGATGATGGATTTGTATTTGTGACTGAATTTTAAGTATTGATATCAGCAATTTATCTTTCACTTACAGTTTTTGAATGATTTGCTGGTCTTATAAGTTTAAAGTTGGAAATATTTATTCCCCCTTTCCTTGAAATGTAAGGGCCTTGTGGCTCTTGAAAAACACAACAATTTCTGATTCAGGTTTCCTATTTGACCAATAACGATCATGAAGTTCTGCTTGAGAGATTACTGAAATAATTATTTTTGTTCCTCCAATTATCTGCTTTGTCAATAGTTATAATACAGAGGGATAGTATTGAAAATAACAGGTATTGCTGTGTTATTTGTTGGCAAAACATTATATATGAATACTGTTTCTGGCAAATAACATATAGTATGATTTGTGAAATTTTCATCTCGTTGGATTTGTCCAGGTTTATAACAAAAAAATACAGTTCTGCAAAGAAACAGGTGGAAGCTGCTCCAGCTACTGCATGTGCTGGTGCTTTTGCTTAAACTAGGAGTTCTAGTGGACATGTGAAAGTTTGTTTCAGGATGTGAGTTGCTTCCCTACGCAGACGTGGCAGTAGGGGGCTGGATATGCAAGAATTGGTTGCCCCATCTGATGTTCTGTTGTAACTGGCAGATACATTATTTCAATATGGAAGCTTTACATTATTTTTTCGATGGCAAGTGTTAGTTTTCTTAGAGTAGCATTTCGTCTGCATCGGGCATCGTTTGACTAGATCGTTGAGTTCCAATTCATGTCCCCCCGACCTTCCCCAGTATCGATATTTTTGGAGAAATTCGAAATTTAAAAATGTAGATCTGAGTCCCAAATCCTTGTTTCTCTGGCGTTCCCCCTAATAATGATATTTTTCGGAGAAATTTTAAATTTAAAAAGGGATGTAATTATATATTTTTAATAATATCAGGGTGAACTTTCTGTCCTTTTATTTCAGTTATCAAGAATAAAGGAAGTGACAGTGACTATAAAAAAATTATACCAACAAATTTGATGAAAGTTGGAAGATTGTGAATCAGATAAATTGAAGATTGTTTTTTTAATAATGGGTGCTTCAATATTTTCATGATGTATTGTCATCCAAGGACAATTATTATAGGAATTTAATTTCGATTTGTTCTTACTACCTTAAGTGAGTTCTCGTGGACGAGAAGCAAGCACTACAGAGCAGTCTTTTACAATGTGTCTCTCGAGGGAGAACTCAGTTCTTTGATTGAAGCATAACCAACACTAATGCAACATCATTCAAGTGGGTAAATCAGAAAAGGGAAGAAAATGTCAAAGAGGTTTTACTGCTGTTCGCCAGCTAGACGAAGTCTGATGTCACTCGGGAAGCAGAATGCACTAGAGGGTATTGTAAACTCTACACAATAAATATAAGTGTCTAAAATTATTCTCTAAATATCCAAATTGGTTTATAGAAATGGAGAAAGTTCAACAATAACTTCTAGACTAATTTTTTTACATAAAAAGTCTTTACAAATTTTTGTTATATTTCAAGTTATATTTTTGTTATATTTCAAATTAAGGAGTTCACGAACATGATTAAGATTACATAAGTAATAGAATAGTATATGATATTATTGAAAGTATAAGAAAATCAATAGGAGTAGATTTTCATTTCCAGATCAAAGCTCCTTAACAAAGAAATACATATGATTTTCTATATCCCAAAAACCTTCTCTCCTCTTTCTCTCGCTCTTCCAATATATTCTATAACGACATTCCTTCTTCTCTCACAAACAACCTCTAACAATGTTAAGAGATTGACCCTACTACCCTTGCCAGCTTAGCACCTTGCGTAGTGCCTTTATTCCTTCTTCTCACATACACTTTCCATTTGCTAGGGTCCATATTCTCCCAATAGACCAATGGTTTTTTAGGCTTCATCACCTTACGGGCCTCATCACTGCCCCCACCTATAGCAACAGCTGAGACTAAGAGTGGGAAATTGACTCTTCAACACCACTTCATCTTCCCAAGTAACCTCATCAACCACTCTTCCACTCCATTGCACGAGCCATTGATTGACTCTTTCTTCACCTTTTCAAATGCTATGAGTAGCCAATAGCACTATGGGTTCCCATTGCATTTCATTGTCTTCCTCCAATCATGTGGGTAACCCAGCTTACATAGAATAATTTCTTACTGCCTTCTTTAATAAAGAAACATGAAAAATGGGATGAATCCTTGAAGTTTGTGGAAGCTTTGGTCTATAAGCCACAACCCCAATATGCTCCAAAATTTCGAAAGGTCCATAATATCTTGCTGACATAGGACATATTCTCGTCATAACTAAATGTTGACGTTGAGGTTTCAGCTTCAAAAATATCCATTCCCTCCCTCCTCTCCCCTAAAACTTCTTTCTTTCCTGTGTCCATCCGCTTGAGCTTTCATCCTATCTTGAACACGTCATAAATGAATTTTTCATTGTCTCAAAGCCTCATCATGGTCCAACAATTTCCTCTGGACTAATTCTACCTGCACCTCACCTTGTACACAACGAACCAAATAGGGTGTTTGAGACCATATACAACTTTAAAGGGTGATGTGGCTGTGGAAACATGGTACTCTGCCCATGGAACCCAATGCACTTATTCTTTTGGTTTATAAAGAATGAAACATCGTGTGCAGGTCTCGATACAACGATTTACCACCTCTATTTGCTCATTCGTTTGCGGATGGTAAGCAATACTCATTTTTAGAGTAGTCCCTTGTATTCTAAAAAATTCATTCCAGAATTAGCTCATAAACAAGGGGTCTTAGTAGCTTATAACTGAGTTAGGAATACTGTGCAAACGAACTATCTCCTTCACAAACACATATGTAATTAATTTAGTCGTGTATGGGTGTTTTAGAGATTTAAAATGACCATACTTACTCAAACAATCAATCACCACCATAATTGCTTCGAAACCTTGTGATTTTGGAAATTCCATGAGGGGCTTGGCCACTTTTCCATACTTCTTAATGAACTTTCAGTAATAACCTGTTAAACCCAAGAAGCCACACACACCTTAAAATACGTGAAAAACACTAGAAGGAGGTGAATAATGTTAATGAAAAATTTCTTTTTCTAACCCTTCTGATACAGCATGTTTGTCAAGTTTTGAATTTATCAAATAGTGCTTAGACGCTCGAATTAATAAATACTTGTAAAATATGGTTGCTATTAACGTGTTATTCAGAATGTATGCTACAGTGTTTGTAAGAACTTCCTTAGTTGCATAATAAACGTTTAGTGTGAAAGGTTCTTGTATGTTATCCTCTTGATTCTTCATCTGAATGATCTTCTATTTAAAGGCTCTTGGATAAGTGTCCGTTAGACTAAACTCTTGGGCTTGATTCTTATGTCTTCTCTTCCTTCGTGTACAATAGTCGTTGACTAAAGTCAACTTGTCAAAGTAGGCATGTTTTTTCAGTACTTTGCTTGAAGTAGGTTGTACTTTCTTTTAGACACCTCTTTAAGTGAAGAACATTATGTGAATATCTCTTTTGTCTTTAACGTTCACTTCTGATATTTTAATTTGAAGCTTATGAATGCGTGTAGAGTAGGTTATCTACAAATAATAGAGTAGATTGTGCATGCAGCATATATGTCTTTTCTCTTATCACTTTTTTTTAACGTTGAACATTTACTGTCATTTAATGCTTGCTCAGAACAACAAAGTGCTTTATGATTTTCTACCATTAAGGTAGCGTTTAACAGTTTAGCTTTTCTTCTAAAGATACAAAGCGTTGAGTAAAGACTTCATCGTTGGACGAAGTAATAGTTTAGCTCATGGTATTGTTTAAACTTATATAAACTCTTTTTATGATATAGCCTTTTTAGAGTAGCAACGTTTTTCATTGTTTGTGTTTTCTTTGGTGTTTTAAGTTTTGGTCTTTTAGAGTGTTTTTGTCAACGACATTGTCTTGACATTGTTTCACTTTTTTTATAGTTAAATTGAATACCCCTTGAGTATAGTAAGTTTTATGCGTTTAGCTTCAACTCTCTTAGACGTTTTGACTTAACAGTCATTTAGCATAGCGTCTGGGTGTTTTAACTTAGTTGTTTTTCCGTTTCGTAAAATCCTAAGTGTTTTCCTAAGGTTTTTCTATGTTGGGAATTTTGAACCTAAGTATTATGTTTCTTCCTATGGTATTTTCATATTATTATTTTGTTTAATATTATTTGGTTAAACTAGAAAACATGAGAGCGTTTAGACGTATAGAAGATTTTGTCTTAACATACCTTTTACAGTTTTTGGAATAAGACACTCTGAACCTTTGATAGGTTTACTCCTATGCCTTCTTCGAAAATAATATGGCTTAAGTATTCCATGCTTTTTTGACCAAATAAGCACTTCTTTTTATTAGCATAAAGTTGGTGGGATTTGAGGAAGTTCAGAATTTCCTCCAAGTGGCTCAAATTTGTTTTCCAATCCATTATATATTATAAAATATCATAGAAGTAGACTAGAACATACTTCTGCATCTACTGCATGAAATCTTCATTCATGAGGTCCTGAAAGATTGAAGGGGCATTCATTAACCCGAAAGGCATTACCAAGTACTTGTAATTCCCCTCATGGGTTCTGAAAGTTGTTTTAAGGATTTCCTCCTCCTTCATCCTCACTTGATGGTATCTAGATTCCAAGTCCAATTTTGGAAAAAAAACGAGACCTATGTAACTCGTCTAACAATTCTTCAATAATTGGAATCGGGAACTAGTCTGGTATAGTGACCTTATTCAGTGCTCTGAAATCAACAAACATATGCCAAGAAGCACATCCTTTTTCTTTACCAATAATATTGGACTAGAGGAGGCACTCTGACTAGGCTTAATATGGTCATCATCCAATAATACTCAAACTTGTCTTTCTGTCTCATTTTTTTGGTGATACAGATAACGATAAGGGTGCACAATAACTGACCCTTTCCTTGGCACCTACGTGATTGCATGTTCCTTTGATCGCACTGGAGGTAATCCCTTGGGGTCTTGAAAGACAGTGTCAAATTTACCCAACAACCTGATGGAAGCAACTCCACACTTCAAGTGAGAGCTCTCCCAAACTCAGAATGGATGCAGTGGAATGGAGAAATGAGTGAAGTTTCTGGTGCACGCCAAGTGTTTGATGAAAGATTCAGTGGAGGTTTAGTGAGTGTGTGAGGTTTCTCAAGCTCAGAAGGCCTTCCAAAGGGGAAGGAAGCTAGAGGAAGAGGTGCGAAATTAGCACTAGAAGTTTTGAACTCTGAAGATATGACTGGAGCGAACTCAACATCATTTCATTATCTCATCTAAGTTAAGATTTACATGGAGAAGAGTCTCTCTTTTATAGGTGAAAAGAGGACTCCATTTCTAACTTTGCTAAGCTTCTAAGAATCACAAATGAAGTGTGCTGGAGAAGTTAAGGAGCTTGGGACGCAAGGTTCATCCAAGCACACATTAAAAACGTG